AAAAAAAAAAAAAAAAACAGATAATCTAGCTGGCATCCAGTGTTTCTCAACTTTGGCTGAATCTCTGTTCACTAGAACAGACTATAAGTTCCAAAAGGTGGGGACCATGTTTTGGTCAGCTTTGCATTTCTCCAACACATAGCACAGTGTTTATGTAAAGAGTCACTCACAGAAATTGTTGAATTCACTTAAAAAAAACAATTTTGGCTGAGTACAGTGGCTCATGCCTGTAATCCCAGCACTTTGGGAGGCTGAGGCAGGAGGATGGCTTGAACCCAGGAGTTTGAGACCAGCTCGGGCAACACAATGAGTCCCTGTCTATAAAAAAAACTTTTAAAAATTAGCTGGGTGTGGTGGCACACTGCCTGTAGTCCCAGCTACTCTGGAGGCCGAGGTGGGAGGATCACTTGAGCCTGGGAGGTCGAGGCTGCAGTGAACTGAAATCATGCCACTCTATTCCAGTTTGGGTGACAGAGCAAGACCCTGTCTCAAAAACAACAGCACCACCACAATTTTTATAAAATAGTTAATGACGCTTGCTAAGGTGGCAGTAGACCCGAAGCTAGATGTTCAAACAATGCCATTCTTACCAGTTTTGGAGTGAAAAAGTGAAAGGGAAAGGGCAGAGAATTAAACCAAATTACACTAAAATCTCCAAGTCTGTAGTAAAAAAGAATTGTAGCAGGTTTAGTCAGTGAAAATGGTTTTTAAAACACATTTTAATGAAAACACTTTCTCACTATCTTTAAATAAAAACAATTTGGATTTTACAATTGGAAGCTGGTCAGGCACTAGGCCTCATCTGCTTTCTGCTCCACAGGTTTCAGATGCCATTGCACTACTAATTCCCCAGTGCTTTTGAGGCATGTGTTAGACATGTTCTCCTCTGTTGGAAGTCCTTGTGGCAACTTCAAGGGCTTGATTCTGTGACACAAGAAAATGTGTTTAGATAGCAGGAATAAGTTCTAGTGTTCTATGCCCTGCAAGATAACTATAGTTAACAATAACACATAGTTTCAAATAGCTAGACGGAGGAAACTGAACGCTCCCAACACGAAGAAATGATAATGTCTGAGATGATGGATATGCCAATTACCCTGATTGGATCACTGTACTTTATTATATATTGAAACGTCACTATGCACCCCATAAATATGTAAGATTATTACCTGTCAATTAAAAACCAAAATTTTAGTTTTTTAAAAAGTTTTTGGCCGGGAATCTCAGCACTTTGGAAGGCTGAGGTGGGTGGATCACCAGAGGTCAGGAGTTCGAGACCAGCCTGACCAACATGGTGAAACCCCGTCTCTACTAAAAATACAAAAAATTAGCTGGGCATGGTGGCAGGGGCCTGTAATCCCGGCTAGTTGGGAGGCT